GTATAGTTGAACTGTTACAGGCGCAAGGACACAGTCAGCACAAAGACCAATATAATCTCTAAGATGAGTAACGGCCATAAATTGGTTTTGCAATATGCAGCCGTAAATCTCGCTCTCTCCGCTCGCACAAAGTTGAGAGCGAAAAAATCAAAAAATAGTGTACAAGTTATGTGACACATTACTTAGGGGCACTTACCCAATTTATAAACAACTTTGAGTTCAGAACAAATTTCCAAATAACTCAGACTGACTCCGAGATAAACCCGTGGTCAGCTATTTCTTTTAACTACGCCTCCAAGTTATTCCCACCCAGATCAATTTCACACATCCCGCATCAAAGGGATTCTGTAAACACCCAAGCCGATATTGTAAACATCGGAGCCCCAAAGCGGTCCCCGAAGTCCGCTAACATAAACACCAATTTCCGGCAGAAATTCAGTTTCAAATTTAATTGCCAAATTTCATCATCCTATTTTTCCGACTCTCTTGAGTCATTCTCTTAATCAGTTTTTCTGAGATAAATCTCTTAAGCCGAGGTTTCATTATTGATCATTGAACTTGAGTCCAGGCAGTCCGTTTTTGAGAATCGAATCGAGAAGTTTAAAAAGTAATAATCAGTGAGCAGTGAAATAAGTTCGACCTATGAAACAATTGTAATAGTGAATAAGTGAAGTTAAAAATAAAATAAATTTTTTTAATCAACTCACTAAGGAGAAAGTTAATTGGCGCCCAACGTGGGGCCGCGCGTTTAAAAATTCCAAAGCAAGGCTTTAAAACAAAATCCTAATAAAATTTTAAAGTGAAAAAAGAATTTGTGCGGCCAACAAACCCAGTTACAACCAACGAAATAAAAAAGTTTGTGTTAATTAAATAAGGAGGAAACTAATAAATGAAATAATCCCCTTTAATAAAAAAAATTACTCCCAATTAAAAATAGTGATCGTAACATAATTCACTGCTACGGACAATAAAAAAAAAAAAAAAACATCAATCTAAAAAACATCAAAAATCAAATATTTAATAAAACAAAAACAAATCATCATCAACTAAAAAGGAGAATTTATTGGCTGAAGGGCAATCCCTCGCCACAAGAAGACCAAAAATTGAAAAATAACATTTAAAAGGAAGGCACAGAGTGAAAAGAAGACCCCAACCAGGATCATCAATTGAAAAGAAGACCCCATCAGGATCATCATACAAGAGGAAGAATTTAATAAGGACGATTCGTGAGCGATAATATATTTTTTTTATTATTTATATTTAAGAATATTGAAAAAAAGAAAAATAAAACAAAATTCGATAAAATCCTCAAAATGAATCCTCCTCAAGAGCAGGCTGGACCTAGTAATAAAAGACCACACACAGCGAATCCTCCTCAAGAAATTACAAACAATCAGGCAGTAACAAACGCCACAATGGTAAATGTAGGAGAATTAATAAAACAGATTGTAAATTATGAATTGAATCCATTAAAAGACGAGATTGGAAATCTAAAACAGCAGTTATCAAATAAAATAAAGAAGGTTGAAGATTATCAGATAGAAGTTATAGATCCAAATATTAAATGCGAAACATCATAAGAGATCATCAAATCTGTAAGGGAATAAAAAGGGGGGGAAGAAAAGTATTTAAGCTGGAGAGAGTCAGCTGAAATAGCTATGGGGCAATATGCCAGAGGCAGCGATAGGTTTTATTCTGCATTGTCAATCTTAAGGAATAAAATAACAGGAATGGCAAATGATGCCTTAACTCATAACGGTACAGTTTTAAATTTCGATGCCATAATGGCCAGGCTTGACTTTGTCTTTAGTGACAAACGTCCAATCCATATTATTGAACAAGAATTGAGTGTATTAAGCCAGGGTAAATTATCCATAATGGATTACTACGGAACTGTTAATAGAAAGTTAACTCTATTAATTAATAAAACTATTATGACTTACGGAAGAAATAAACCAATAACATTAGAAATGAACGAGAAACATAGAAAGACCGCCCTCAGAGTTTTTATAACCGGCCTTAACGGTCATATTTCTGACACAATATTTTCAATGAATCCTCAAGACCTACCAAATGCAATGGTTATAGTTCAGGAATTGGAAAGTAACAATATGAGGGCTCATTTTGCTAATACTTTCTCAACCACACAGAGAAAAAATAATGAACAAAATTCAAGTGGAAACGGGCAAATATATTAAAATAATAAACCCAGACAGCTAAACAATAATTATAATAACCAAAGGAATAATAATAATAATTTAAGATTTAACCAAGAAAGTAATAATTACAATAATAACAATCAAAATAAAAATGGTTATAATAATTATAACCAGAACAGGAATAATAATTGGAGTCAGGGCAGATATAATAACAACCAGCAAAATCAGTGGAACTCGAATAAACCACAACAAAATAAGCCAGAGCCAATGGATGTAGATGAGTCAATTCAGATTCAAAATAGGAACAATAACGGTTATAATCAAGGTTATAATAATTACCAAAATAATAATTATGATCAAAATAAATGGAACCAAAATAAAAAAACTGACACACAACAAGATCAGGTTCAAAATAAAAGAGTACCTACTGGAACTGTTAACCAGCCGGCTAATAAGACCATGAGACTTAATAATATTGAGGAAGACCATTTTTTAGACCAAAGCCAGGAGTAGGATTACCCTACTTAATTAGAAATGATAAAAAAATAAATAAAAAAATAAAAATATTAATTGACACAGGGGCAACCTCTTGTTATATAAAAACAGGAATTTATAAAAGTAAAAATGAGCTCCCAATACATAAAAGAGTATCCACAGTAAATGGATATTCAATAATAAAATATTATCATATGATAACTATATTTGATACGCGATATACATTTTACGAAATAGAAGGCTTAGATTCAGATTTGCTAGTAGGGTATAACCTATTAAAAAAGATCGGAGCTGTGATTGATACAGCTAAAGGAACGATAAAATATAATGGAAAGGAAGAAAAATTAAATTACGACAACGGAAATAATTTAAATCAACATTCCTTTTCCGAAGAAACCACCATTCTTCCGTTAAAGGAATTTATTTTAAAAAGAAAGGAATTATATACCCTTTTGATGAAAAGACTCACTCGGCAGTTCCAGGTGTTTTTGTTTTAGTGTTTTGTTATTTTTTTGTTGATTCTATGTCTTAAAACCGGGTCATCGCGAACTTTAAAACTGAGAGACTAGTTGCATAGAAACGGACAGCGACAGCGGATTGAGGAAGAGGAATGGTAGAAGTGGCTATTGGTGGTTAAAATATATCCTTTGGAAACGCCGTCGTTGCATTGACTGAAATTATACTACCCTCTACAAGGGAAAAAAAAAATTTAAAAAAAAAAATCCGAATCTGAAATGGCAAATCAAAGCGAATTTAGTTTGGGAATTAAAAATCCTGAACACGCCGTCGTTGAATTATCCGACAAAAATATAAGTTTGGGAACTAAAAATCCCGAACAAGCCGTCGTTGAATTATCCGACAACAATAAAAGTGTGGGAATTAAAAATCCTGAACACGCCGACAACCAAAAAATTAACAATATGAAAAAATCATCTGCAAATCAATTGAAGGATTTGGAGGATGAAATACTAAGCATTATCAATAAAGAGCATTCGAAAATAAATATGCAAATTCCATTTAGGACAGATATTCGCGGTGAAATAAACACCGAAAACGAAAGACCCATATATAGCAAACAATATCCGTATGCTCTATCAGCTTCAGATTTTGTGAACTCAGAAATAGATCGAATGTTAAAAGAGGAAATTATAAGGCCAAGCAGGAGCCCTTATACCTCCCCGGTACTAGTAGTACCCAAAGAAGGTTTTAACGAAGATGGAACTCCAAAACTCAGACTTGTAATAGATTATAAAAAACTAAATGATAATACAATAGATACCCAATGCAGGATCCTTTGGTAATTTTGTCAAATCTTGGGAAAGCTAAATACTTTTCCACAATCGATTTAGAATATGGATTTCATCAGATTCTCATGAGCGAAACAGACGTACAAAAAACATCGTTCTCAATAAACAATGGAAAGTACGAATTCTTGAGAATGCCATTTGGGTTGACTAACGCTCCCAAAATCTTTCAAAGAGCAATGGATTATATATTAAGAGAAGAAGTCGGTAAAACATGCCATGTTTATATGGATGACATTATAATATTTTCAAAAACAATTGAACAACATTACAAAGATTTAATTGTCATAATTAAAATTTTGCTGAACGCAAACATGAAAATTTCTATCGAAAAATCAAAGTTCTTTCTTGTAACTAGCGCTTTAATTTATAAGTGTTTTTTGTACTTAAGTAGTATTTTTATACGGGTTCTGAATCGTATTGCTGGATACAAAAGTGGAAGGGAGGAGGTAATTAATTATGCTAATTAGGGTAATAAATCAGGACAATGTGACAGGTGTGGGAGGTAATTAAAGTTAATGGGTGCGTGACGAGTGATCGTTAACCCTCTAAGACTTGCGTGCCTGAAGGCACGTATTACGTTTTTGGCCTGAACAAATAAACTAACATCTTTTCAATTGTTTAAATATTTTTTTGCGGTTGATAAAAGGCAGACAAAATTATGAATCTCAGGCTTGAAAGCTCTCCGAAGCTTCTAACGAGACTTATCATTTATTTTATGTTTTTTCGCGCGAAAATAATACGTGCCTTGAGGCATGCTTACGTCTTAGAGGGTTAATTTGTATCCACCCTGCAGTTCCCGAATTCAGACCAAGCGCTAAATAGCACTGCGTCGACTGCGACGCCGGCAGAGCCTCGGCAGAAGCGACTCTCTCACCAACCCCCTCTCTCTCAATCGCCGTCACCGACGGAGCCGACCTAAACGGCGCCAGAGGCGACGCTCTTCAAAATTCTCTCTCTCAAATTAAGCAAGCGCGATCGTGGCAAAGGGAAAAGAACAACAAGAGAGATTGAAATTGCAGATGTTGTTTTTCTCGCTCAGTATTCTTTTTCTATTTCTGAAAAGCAGGCGCCGTTGTTCCGCGTTTTTCAATTGCGTTCTAACTGTGATAAGTTGTTTTCGAGTTCAAACAAAAGTGCTATTAATCAAGAATGCATTTTTAGGTAAGTAATTTTAAAGGGTATTATAACTTTGTCTTGTCAAAATTATTATAGCTTCTCATTTTTAGAATATGTATGTTTTATTTTTAGGTCAAGCTGATGGTACAAGGTGCATAAACAATATAATTTCAGATAAGATAATTTTGTCCTACAGCCCAGAAGGATGTTATTCTTGCACTTCTAAGTAAGTTTTTATCGTTCTTGTCTAATATTCTAATATTATAAAAATATATATTTTCCAAATTCAGATCCCATTGGTCAGGTGAAGCCTGCAGAGCCTCCGGAGAGGATGCGGAGATGTGTGAAAAATATCCATGCGCGAAAACGGAGCTCACCAAGACTCCGGAAGCCATGACAAACGTACCGAAGACCCTACAAGTCACCGTAGTTGGTAAAAATCTATTAATTTAATGTAAAAGTATAAAAATAATTTACCAAAAATGATGTAGTAAAATTAACTGAAAACAAATAAACCTTTTGATTTGAAATTTGACATATTTTTTATTTTTCTCTCTCTTTCCTGATGATTTTGGGTGATATTTCGGCGCTAAAATAGCGCCAAAAAGACGCCGAATTTGGTGATGAATTAAGCGCTGAAAAATGGTGATGAACAGGTGCTAAGAAAGCGCTAGTTTTTGGCAGTGATGAGCTAGTTAAGCGGGTGAGAAGTTACTGGGGTGTGACGGATGTCCTTTGCTTATCTGGGTTATCCTAGTTAATCGGGGGAGAAGTTACTGGGGTGTGACGGGTGATCATAGCGATATATTCTTTGCTTAGATTAAGAAAGTGTGGTGCTCACACGGTGTGACGGGATCATAGCGTTGTATTTAGATTTTCCTAATTAAGCGGTGGAGAAGTTACTGGGGTGTCCTTTGCTTATCTGGGTTATTCTAGTTAAACGGGGAGAAATTACTGAGGTGTGTCAGGTGTCCTTTGCTTATCTCGGCTATCCTAGTTAAACGGGGAGAAATTACTGAGGTGTGTCAAGTGATCATAGCGATATATTTGGGTTGGTCAGAAACAAGGCGAGTTGAGTTGCCTATGTGTGGACTGTATTAATTTTTATTCTTGCCAGTTGCGAAGCCTATTCGATACTGAATTGAATTTCGCAATACGACGCCGTATTAGCGGCGTTGCCAGAAACTCAAAGAGAGATTTTTTTGTACGTATACATGTTTTCTTGTACATAGATTAAAGTATATAAAGGAATGGAGATGGCATTATGCGCCTATATATTAGAGATGATTAAAGCTGCAAGCGTTCACGAACATCCCGGCCCGCCCTGAAACACCGTTTCTGAATGGGGCAATACAGCAACTTTCGTGATCGGTCTGGTCATCTCTCCTGCCTGGGTCTTCAGTTTGACTGCTCGAACGAGGTCGTCCTTTCCTGGATAGATTTCCATAACCCGTGCGATGTGCCAGGATGCCGGTGGTGAATTGGACTCTTTTACGAGCACAACATTACCGGTGGAGATGTTGGGTGTTGAGGTAGTCCATTTTGGACGTTGCTGCAGAGTAGTCAGATACTCCTGATGCCATTTTTTCCAGAATCCTTGAAGCATAGACTGGATGCTTTGCCAATATCCTAATCGGCCCACTGGGATGTGGCTCAAATCGGGATCTGGCACTGTGGTCAAAGGTCGCCCGATCAAGAAGTGAGCGGGTGATAGGTAGTTGGTTTCCGTATCCGGTGTGTGGCACAAGGGGCGTGAATTTATCACTGCGCCTTTTTGAGCAAGAAGTGTGCGCATCTGTTCAAAGGTGAGCGTTGAGTTTCCGGTGATTCTGCGCAGATGTAGCTTGACACAACGAACTGCCGACTCCCATTTCCCTCCCCAGTGAGGGGCTCTCGGGGGAATAAGTACCCATTGGATACCATCATCCGCTAGTGTGCTAGAAACGGTGTCCTTGTGTGTTTGTGAAGAAAGCAATTCTTGCATCTCGTCGAGGGATCGCTTAGCTCCAATAAAGTTTGTGCCATTGTCACTGTAGATCTTACTGCACTTGCCACGTAAGGATATGAAGCGCCGCAAGGCAGCCAAGAAAGTTTCTGTGGTCAGGTCTGTTGCAAGTTCCAGGTGGATGGCCGAGGTGACCATGCACACAAATAGGCATATGTAACCCTTGCTGATACGTGGCTTCCGAACCTTTGCATCCTTCAGAAGGATTGGACCTGCATAGTCGCAACCAGTATGTATAAATGGAAGCGCTTGAGTAATGCGTACGCTGGGTAAATTAGCCATTTGTTGCTGGGATGTATGGGAGCGTTGACGAAAGCAAGCTAAACAGTCGTGTGTTATCTTCCGAATTAGATTCCGTGCTCCAAATATCCAGAATTTTTGCCGAACAATAACAAAAAGTGAGGAAACTCCAGGGTGGAGGTTCACTCGGTGCTCGTGTTCCAGTATTAGCTTTGAGATGTGATGTGCCGCCTTGATCTCGTCAAATGAGAGCGCTCTGGATGCCTTTTCGCGAGATGAATTTCGAGTACGTTGAATAAACCGCATCACGTAGCCGACAATGTGTACGAGTTTGATCCAAGAAGACACTCTGTCGATTAGTTCATCAAGTATATGAATCTGGGTTGCTTCTGTTAATGTAGCCAAACAGCTGGATTTGACTTCTCCTTGAATGCGTTTGTCTGTAAGAGATAAACCGAACCGTGAATCGTTTAATTTTACCAGGTACTGATCCTTGTCCCGTAGCCATTGAGGCCCATTCCACCACAAATGGAAGTCGATGAGATCAGCAGCCATCAGTCCCCTGGACGCACAGTCAGCTGGGTTTGTTTTGGAATCGACGTGACGCCAAGCACTCCTTGGAATGGTGTCAAGGATTTCCGAGGTTCTGTTTCCAACAAATGTCTTGAGTTGGGCTGGCGCATACGATAGCCAGGAGAGCACTATTGAAGAGTCGGAGCAGCCAAAAACAGTTATGTTCTTGTGGCGTAATCCAGACGTGATCGAGCGAATCAGTTGGCTGAGGAGAAGTGCTGCGCAAAGTTCCAGACGTGGCAAGGATTGTTGTTTCAGTGGAGCCACCCTTGTTTTCGCAGCCACAATGGACACCGAGATGGATCCATCGTCGTTTGTAACTCTGATGTACACCACAGCAGCATACGCCTTGGTTGAAGCATCCGAGAATCCGTGGAGTTCGATGTTGTCCGGGTCGTTGGGAACAAATCGTGGTAGTCGGAATTTTTGAAGAGTGTCCAGATCTGCTCTCCACTTCAGCCAGTTGTCCGCCAGTTTAGTTGGGAGTGGGTCATCCCAGTCCAAATTCAAGAGCCAGAGCTTTTGGAAAAGGATTTTGAATTGAATGACAATGGGTGCCAAGAGTCCGAGAGGATCAAATATCCTCGAGACGTCGGACAAGACTTGTCTCTTTGTGCAATCAGGATTTGCAGCTAGACCGACATTGTACGTTAGAATGTCTTTTCCAGGATGCCAGTACAGTCCGAGAACCTTTACTGGTGACGTTTGTGCAGATTGTGTGTCGCCATCGTTCGTCTATATGCATGGTGTATTCGATACCCATTTTCCGAGTTCAAGGTTGGCGCGAGACATCATCTGAACTAGCTCGTTTCGGTTTCGAAGTAGCTCATCCTCACTGTTTGACCCAGTAAGAACGTCATCGACATAAAAATCCTCCAGCAGGATTTTCGACGCATTTGGGTATTCCTCTTTATGATCGATAGCAAGTTGTTCCAGCACCCGCACCGCCAGGAATAGCGCGCACGAAGTTCAGTAGGTTACCGTGCACAATTGGAAATGCTTGATGGATCTTCTCTCCAAACGATTTTCTGGAAGTTTCTGTGCTTTTCGTGGACCCATATCTGGCGGAACATTTTTACGATGTCCGCTGAGAATGCAAATTTGTACATTCGAAAACGAAGGCACACAGCGAATAGATCGCGCTGGATACTGGGCCCTGTAAACAGGGTGTCATTTAAAGCCTTACCATTGGCGTCGCGAAATGATTTATCGAAAACTACTCGTAGCTTCCGACCCAGCACTGGGTGGTGGGGTAGATAGAACTGATTTCCAGTAGCGTTTTCCTCAGGTGGCACCTCTCGCATGTGCCCCAGATTTGTGTACTCCCTCATAAAGTGTACGTACTGTGTACGCAGCTGTTCGTTCTGTTGCAGCCGCCGCTCAACCGATTTAAAGCGTTTTAGCGCTCCTTTTTGAGTTTGTCCGAATTCGGGGTTTTCAGTGTTGAATGGAAGTTCCACGATATACTTCCCGTTTTCATCGCGACTGTGAGTGGCGAGAAAGTGCTTCTCGACTTGATCATCCTCCGGTTCCAATTTTGCGCTGCTTTGAACGTTTTCTAGTTCCCAAAACTTCTGAAGCGTGGCGCCTATGTCCACTGTTGTAGTCAGTGCAATAGCGTTGCTTGGACTCGATGTGATGAGTGAAGTTATTACCCATCCGAACACCGAAGAAATGGCGATGAGATTACCCTTGTTGTCGTACATCTTTCGTCCTGTAAACACTGACCATACGTGTTCGCTGCCCAATAGAATGTCAACAGGTGAGTTTGTGTTGAATTCAGTATCCGCCAACTGCAGATCCTTGAAAACCTTGAGCGCCGATGCATCGATGTTTTGCCTTTCCAGCGAAGAAGTGATCCTGCCTAGCACGTGGGCGTAGACAACCAACAGATCCTCGGAGATACGAGACTTGATGTGCAAGGTGCTGCATCCCCTTGTCGTGTCTGCTTTCACCGAAGAGATTCCGGTAACCAAGATGCGTGATGCCGACCGTGTCAATCCGAGAGCTTGGATGCAACGCTCGGATACGTAGGAAAGCTCGGAGCCCGTGTCCAATAAGAGACGGCATGTTACGTGGTCACCCTTTGCGTTTTGAACATAAGCCATGGCAGTTGGTAATATGCTTCGCTTAACTTCCGATTCCTTTGCAGATTTTGCATTGCCCTGTGCACATACAGCCGATTGAGTGCCCTCTCCTTGGGCGAAATGACTGAGAGTCACCGATGTGTTGTTGGACGCGCTTGTGTTTCGCTCGTCCTCCCCTGCTATCTGGGCAAGATTCCCAATAGCCTGTGGATTCGCTTGGACATGAAGAAGATGATTTCCCTTGCATTGCCTACATTTGTATGTCGACTTGCACTTGCTGACCCCATGACCAGGTCGCAAGCAGTTGTAGCACAGTGATTACTCCTTTACGAAGGATCGCCTCTGCATCCCGGACATATCCAAGAACTGCTGACAGCTGTACAGAGAGTGTTCTGTAGAATTACATTTGGTGCAGCCACTGCCTTCAACCGCAACCATCGATTGTGTGACCCTTTTTGGTTTTTCTGCATGTGTTATTGTCTTGCCACCAGTAGCAAGCTCCCTTTTACTCAGCTCCAGTTCCTCGCAACGAGAATCGAGAAACTTGAAGAATTTCTCGAGAGT